TCTAAATAATACTAAAAATAATCAAATATAAATATCCAATTTTCATTTATTTTCTTAAGATATTTAATCCAAAACATTATTTTTAATTTAATAATATTTATTAGAAATTAAAGAAAAAACTTATAAAATATCTATAACATTCATCAATATTTGCTATCATAAATTCATATTCGAGCAAAAGGATATTTATATTGACTTAATACTTTTGATCGAACAACTAAGTTCATCAGTTTTAAATTTACAGTTGCTCGTGTAAATATAAGATAAATCAATTTGAAATGATTTCTAATTATTCAATCAAAATCCATTAATCTATTTTTGATTGGGTTAACTTAGTCATTCAAAACGCGGCTTCATGCTTATATTTCAGTGATTTCAACGCCTGCACAGAAAAGCTCGACGAACATGTCATTTACATAATCAACGTTCCAACGCATATACTTTTCATAGAAAAGTAAATAATTTAAAGAATTATGTATACATCTGACGTATAATCTTTTACAATTACGCAAGCGCTGTTACTTTTTAATACGTGAGCAGAAATTGTATGAACTATTTCAATTCAACCGAGTTTTCCAAGGTTTTATAGAAGAAGTCTATATTCTTATTCAAGATACGATTTTATGAAATTATTTTGAATTGTTTTATAATACTTTCATAATTTCATATGAATTTTTCCAATATGTAATAAGTTATATCATTATTTATACGGAAGTTCAGACACTTTCTATTAACAGATAGATTAAGTAATGAAATCATTTATCAAATTTTTCTTTTCATGCAAAAAATATAAGTACATAAATTTTCTTTTTATATATATTTTTTTTAATTTCACATTATAATGATAAAAAACATTTTATAGTAATAATTGAATTTCAAAATTAACATTAATATTTCAAAAAAGTTGATCTTAAAAATGAAAGTGCATAATTATAAACTTATCTATATCTTTTTCGACAATAATGAAACATAGATTGAAAAAACTTTCCAATGTCTGTAATTCACTTTCTCGTAACACTAGCATTATATTTTAAGTTAAATCGATTCTACAATTGTTACACAGTTATTTGTGATTAATTATAATATTGATAGAAAATGAGAAAACTATTTTTTAAAGGAATAATGATTTTACCGTGCTAGAATCCTCAATAAAAAAATACTTAAAAAATTTTAAATGAGCAAATTCATTATCATATTTAACATTAAATTTTGATTCAGTAAATTGATATTATAGTTTGAGGAGAAATGTTCACAATCAGTAAAAACTAAAAATTATATTGTTAAAATTGAAGAACGAAAAAAAAAATTTGCTTGAACAGATATAAAAAATTCTAAATGAATTATTAGTGTTCTAATTGAATTTAAATTCTAAATAAAAAGATATTAAAATTACATATTAAATTTATATTTTTTCATAATTTCATCATTTTTTCATCTAAAATGAAAATTAAAGAGAATATTCTTTTTTTTTTAGATTTATAAAGAAAATAATATTTGTTTTTTATTCTTTCGTTTTTCTTCTATCGTTATATATTATAGAAATATTGGAAAAATTTTTGCAATTTTTGTTTTTGTTTGATTTTTAATATTATAAAAATTATGAAAATGAATTTATAATTATTCATTGTATTTATTGTATCATTATATGTATTATATATATATTTATACTGTATTTCAATAAGTTTTTGAATTATACAATTATAACATAATAATTTTAAATGATATATTAGCATGCCATGAAAATTTTAGGTGTATTTTAAACTTTTGCATATAAATTAGGGAAAAGTATCATAATAAATATTATTATTTTCAAATTTTTCAATATTTTATTCCTTCTTTGAGCAAAAAATGAAAAGAAAAATATTATTTCTCTTTGGAAATTAGTTATATATATAAGATATCCAAAAATATTGAAACATCCATAATTTCGTGCTCGATTATGATACTGACGCGGCTGGACTAGATTACGCGCTCTGCGATTGACCAATACTTTTTATTAATAACTCGCTAAGCCATAACAAAAATTTTTACTTCTTTATTATTAAAAGAAAATAAAATTGAAATTCTTCAGGAATCTTCAATTCATTTGGAATATTTATTTAAATATTTTTGGAAATATATTTATATATTCCATGTATATATTCTGTCGTGAAGTTGAAAAATAATCTTGAAATTTTTTTTTTAAAATTCGTATGCCATTTGCATATATCATATAATAAAATGTAAAAAATTTGTATATATCATATAATAAAAAAATTGTTTCTGTGATATAACAAACAAATATATAACTTCAATAAAATTCAATTAACTGAATAAAACTAATAAAATATTACAAAAATAATTATTCTCTAAAGTTCCCCTTACAAATAATTTTAGGAATTACAAATTAAAAATTTAATTTTTTATAAAATTTGATATTTCTAATAAAAATGATATTAATATATTTTTAATTTTTATAATTTATTTATTTATTTTTTTAATTTAAATCTAAATTTTTATAAAAAGAATATCATATTAATAAAGAATTTCAAAAAATTCTTTTATCTCATTGCAATTTTATTTCTTGAAATTCTTTTATTTGATAAATGAATCAGGATATTTCATCGTAAACCTAGGAATGAATTTAATCTTAAAAGTCAATCAAAAAAACAAATTTTTACAATGATTCCAAGAATTCCGATTAGCCAACAACCTGATTTGAAAACGTCTAAAAAATTTTCAAAGAATTCCACTTAATTTTTAAATTCCAAAAATATAAAGAAAACGTAAAATAAATTCTTCATTTTATCGAAAAAAAATTATAAAATTTAAATTCAAAAATTTGAAAGATATTTGAAAGATAAATTTTTTGAAATTTAATATTTATATTATAAATTGTTATATATATTTAAATTTTTAAATCTGAAATTTAAATTTCGAATTCTAAGAATTAAATTCTAAATTTTGAATTTTTATATAGTCTAAAATCTAATATTTAAAATTGAAAAATCTGAATTTTGAAATTTGATATTTATATTAAAAGGTTTTTTTTAAATTTTTTTTGAATTTTTAAATTTAAAAGTTTTTGAGATTCGACTTAAAATCTAAAATTTTAAATCTGAATTCTGAAGTTTAAATTCTGAATTTTGAATTCTAAGAAACAATATAAATTTGATTTTAAATTTAAAATCTAAAGTTTGCAATCTAATATTTTGAAAATTATAAATTTTGAATTCCAAATTTTCCAAAATTCTGTATTCTATAATTTAATAGAATATTTCTATGAAATAGATAGAAAATTTAATCATCAATTCTAGAATTTACAATAAATACAATAAGTATTTTATTGAAGTTTATTTTTTATGTTATATACAATTTTATTTTATATTAAATGAAAAACATATAAAATATGATATAAATCTATTCATTCTCCCGGTATCTTATGGTAACGCGAAAAATTAAATTTCATAAAATAATTTAATTCCTTAAAAAAATAACATTTCAACATTTTTGCATATCAACATTTATGTTTGTTTTAATTTCAAAATCATCCCTTTAAATTTTCCACATATTCCACATATTATAATTCAGATAAATTGTAATAGTTAGTTTTTTATTATTTGATACAAATGGTATATGCTCTTACAAAAAAAAAAACCTCAATCTGCAAATACGCAGCAAACCAGTATTTTTAATAGCTATGGTTTGCAATATTCCCCACTGCAAACTGGTCTGCCCGTTCCTTCGGCGGTGAACACGGCTCAAGGTATTGCACAAGCGTTTGATTCTTTATTCTGTAGCCAGCGAAGTCAGTTCTCAGTGATACTTCGGCCAGGTCACTTCACCACCTGTTTCCCGATTCATATTTCTCGACCGGTGCACAATCTATCTCATTAATGACGATTCGAATAATCTTAGACTAATTGTAAAATTTCAAAAAAGTGAAACAATTAGAAATCATTTGTTCTTTATTTCGTGTGAAGAAACAGTAGATTAAGGAAAAACTGTCAATTTCTGGGAATATTGTATTCTAAATAAAATAATAGAGTGTTATAATAGAAGAGGAATTTTTCAAGTTGGTTCGAGTTAGTTTATTTGGATAAAGTGATTAAAGAAGAATGTCGGACTAATGGTGAAACTTGATCGATGATTATGGAATTAGTGGTGAACAATCGAACCGCGAAGTGTAACTGACTGAAAGAAATTTGATTTAATGATCATTGCTTGCTAAGAAAGAAGCTTTTGTTTGACGTTGCTGGAGTCCGTGTCACAGGTTAGTGATTGCATACTTGCGTTTGTTAGATCAAAAAGTGAAAATAAAAAAAAAGATGATTTAATGATGATAAAGTGAAATAGGAGAAAAAATTGATGTTATTATGGTTATTAGAGACATTGGAGAATTATTATAAACGAATAGAATTATAATATTGAAATTACAATTTTGAAAATAATTTCAATTTTTGAAAAATTTTTAACGAATTGATGTATTTAAATTAGATAAATAATAAGAAAAATAAAAAAAATTTTTTAATAAGCATTTAATATCAAATTAAATATTATAAGAATTTCAAAAATGGAAACAATACTTTCCAAAATTGATTAAAATTTTAGAAATAATTTATGAATAATTATTTTTCTAATATAATTATTATGAATATAATCATGCATTATTTAAATTGTATAATAATGTACAATAAATTGTTAAGTTATTAATGTAAATAAAATGTAAATATTTATATATTTATGCAAAATTTGAATAAAAATCTAAAGAATGCTCATGACATGCAAAAAAAAAAAACAAATTCAACGTATGATACGTATTATAATATTTAAGAAATTTAAATCTCATTTGTTTAATTACATTCATTAAAATGTGATTTTTCATAAAAATCTGTAATCTAATTATATGATTTACAACTTATGAGAAAATAATTTTTTTATTATAATAATTTTTTTTACATGCTTTCTTTAACAATGACAAATTGCAATATTTAATTATTTATTTTATCATTATTAATTGATAATTATAATAATAATTATAGTTTAATAATAGTTTAATAATTACACATTGCACTTTATAAAAAAAGAAAGATCATTTACAATATAAATATTTTTTATGATTGTGAAAAGTGGAACTTTTATCCGAAATTTTATATCTGAATTTGCATTTTTATTTCGATGGATTGCATGAAAAATTATGCAAATATGCCATTATTATTCTAGTCTGTATATATATAATATAACTAAAATCACTAAAAACTTATAGTATAATAATCATAAATTTGATTCAAATCTTTGAAATATAATTAATTATATTTAATTCAATATTAAATAATTAATATTGAAAATCTTATTAATAATATAGGAAAAAGATTATGAGAACAGTTTAAAATCCCTTAAAAGAAATAATATTTTAATTTTAGAAAAAAATGAAAAAAAAGAAATAATTAAAAGAACAAATATTATAGAAATATATATTTGGAAAAAATTTCTAATAATTTTATATCTCTTGATAAATCTCCTTAAAATAATCTCTTCAAAAATCATTGTAAGTACATATAATATATAATATAATTTATATATTGTTATTTTTAAAACATAATATAATGTAAATATGTGAATTTAAAAATTTTAAAATAATTAATATATCGAATTTGGAAGAACATAAGAAAAATTTGAATAATCAAATAGTAATTATTTTAAGTAGCAATAGAACAATCATTCTTGTAATAAATCAATAATTCAAAATATAATATCAATAGAAAAAAATATTCAATCGTGTACGTCATTCGCCTATGTACATATTTATGTAATAAAATATCAGATAGTTTTTGCCAATATTTAATTTTATTTTTCTTTCCTTTTTCCATTAATTCCTTAACTAGAACTTTAATTAGAATTAGTAACTAGTAATTTTTCTGAATATTTAATATTTATTATAATTAATGCATTTCGAAGAGATAATAATATATTAATTATTAAAATTAAAAATTTTTAATTCAGTTTTAGTAATAGATCAACATTCACACATATATTCATGCAAGATTGTCACGCATATATTTAAAAATTTTTGATTAAATTTTTATATAATTTTTATATACTTATTATTAAAGATATTTCTAAAAACATGCAATTATACTATATGATATATATAATATATACATAATATAAAAATGTTATATAATGATATTATATAATGATATAATGATATTTTTAAATAAAATATAATTCACAACTGATTATTCACAAGACTTCACAGTATCTTAGCAATTTAAATTGTAATTAATGATTGCAATAAATAATTACGAGATCAATATAATTGCTGTATAATAATAATTGCTGTAAAATAAATAGAAGTGATTATTTAATAACAATTCATTATTTAATGATATGATATGAATAAAATTTATTGTGTAAAAATAATGATCTTATAAAAAACATAAGTAATATAAAAACATTTAGACATAATGTAATGCAAAAAAAAAATATGATGAAACACAAATATAAATATAATGATTATTTCTTTCCTATAAAATTTTTATGAAAGTTATAATCAATAATAAGTTAAATAATAAATGATATAAATAAATAAATAATATGTATAATATTTATAATTGTATATACATTACAAATATTGAATATTAATTATAAATTTTAATAAAAATTAAAATTCATTGTTATTCATTATTAACTTAATCATAATATCTCTTTTCAAAATTGGACAGATTAATGCTCAATATAACAAATTAAATTAAATTAAAACAAAATTATATTATTGTCTAATGATCAGTAATCATTGATTAATTGAAAAAAAGAAATAATCATAATTATTGTAAGTCAAAAATCATAATTAATTCAATAATCATTAATCATGAGATGATTAAATTTTTGATTATGATTATTTTCTATTATTGATATTATATACAATAATTTTTTAATATATATTTGTTAAAAAATACATTATTATTATAATTTAAAATATATGTTTATTATTCACATCACAATTTATATCAATATTTTAAAATAATATAAAACAATTATTTACATACATTCATAATTTATCATTCTATTCTAAATTATAATATTTCAGTATTTTGAATAGACATTTCATATAAAAACTTTAAAAATCCAATGAATTTAAATTTGGGAAATAAGATAATTACGCAATATAGATCTTTTATATCTAAGTTATTTATTTATTTTTCAAATATTTAAGTATTTATTATACCTTATAAACAAAGACGAATGATTCACATAATATTTGCATATGTTTATACAGATTTTTTTCATTTTTTTTTTTAAATGTACAATTCTTGATTGATATTGATCTAACAAATTATTTTCATCCTATTATACAAAGATTAATTTTAATAAAAAATTCTGAAAATTATAAAAATTATATAAATATTATAATAAGTTCTTTTCATTAATATATAATATGTTTTTTTCATACATGTGTTACATATATAGAGATTCACATGATACATGAATTGCATATTTTAATTTTATAAATTTTTTTATTGGCAAACATGCATAAACATGTAGTCTGTAAACTACAGATAATATATTGTTTTTAAACAATTTTAATTATTTTCTTTATTTATATATTTTTTTTATTTTCTATTATTGAAATTTTATTTCTTTATTTCTTATTTATTTTATTTTTTTCGTCAATTATAATCTTTAATTATTTTTAATTCTTAAATAAATATTGATATAAAATAATAAACATAAAATTATAAAAGTAAAAGTTTAATCATATTTATAAAATCAAATAAAATTTACCAGAATAAAAATGATAATAATTAAAACAAAAGAAAAATAAAATGCGACACATTATTCTAATATTTATAATGCACACTTTATTTTTTATTACACATATAAAATTATTTACGCAAATAGATGTTAAATATGTAAATAATTCTTAGATATTCTAATAACTTGATGACTTTAATTGCGAGTATAATTTTAAAATTAAAAAAATTTTTTTATTTGTAAGATACGATCATAATATTTTTACTTGCTATAATTACAATGAATTTCAAAAATAAAAATAAATAATATATTAAATTAAATGATTTTTATATCGACGTATAAAAATACAAATTAATTATTATTAATTGTATTTATAAATGATTTATATTTACTTTTTCATTATTGATTTCATAATCTTTGTAAAATTCATTATGTATATATATATATATATATATATATATATATAT